CTAATTTTTGTAACGGTAACATGAATAATAGTAAATTGAATAGTTTCAAGAAAGTTATGAAGTTGGTAATGCTATGAAACTTTTTGCAATGTTTAAAAGTTCTGGTGTTTGCATGTCATACCATAGTTTAACAAAAAAATTTTAATAGTAACATGAATAGTAACTTGAATAGTTGCATGGGATTGGTTAGTTGCAAGAGAAAATGTAAAAAAACATGTCAATGTACTCAGTATCTTGAAAAACTGAAAGAGATAGACTAAATTTTATAACAACAACTGGAACATGAAGCTGTGATGAAGTTCAAAATGCTATGAAACTTAGATTTTTTTCCATGTCTAAATATTTCGTGTTTGTGTGTCATAGCATTGTTTAACTATTTTTCTTATCTTAACAGTAACCAGGGCCGGGTTGTTCAAAGCGCGATTAAGCAAACCCAGGGTTAGCGTCAATTTTTATTCCAGTTAAATTAATAACCAAAAGAGATTTTCTTAAGGATTCTTGCTCTTTAGTTTTATTTTTCGATTTGACTTCATGTGCAGCTTATAATTAGCTTTTGAAATCTTTTTAAACAAAAGAGATTAAATCTTTGATTAAGCTTTAATCGCGGGTTAGCAGTAATCGTCTTTTGAACAACTGGGCCCTGGATGATACTAACTCGATTAGTCACAAGGTAAAATGCAATAATTAAAACATGAGAATCTACTCATTTACAATGTAGTTCAGATACTAAATGAGCGAGACTAATTTTTCTAACAGTAACATGAATAATAGTAAATGGAATAGTTTCAAGAAAGTTTAATATGAAATTCAAAAATTAAGTGCTATAAAAGTTTTTGCGATATCTAAAAGTTTTAGTGTTTGTATCTCATAGCATGAATTATTAGTAACTTAAATAGTTACTAGAGATTGGTTTGTTACAAGGGAAAATGCAACAAACATGTTAAATGGCAATTTTTTCAATGTCCACAAGTTTTCGCGTTTGCGTGTCAAAGCATACTTTAACTGTGTCTAGGTTTAAGACAGCCTCTGTGATTTCCTCCTCTGTTGTTTCATTTGCAATTAAGTGACAAATTGAAAACAACTTTGGCACTGCTTCTTGATAAACCTGTAGCTGAAGCTTCTGCAGTGGTTATTTGGAGTTTTGGATATGGATCTTGAGTGTCCACTTTACACTGCAGCTGGTTGCCTTTTTGTGTTACTTTGCAGTTATCGCAGACTGCAATTTTTCCCTTGATTGTAACTTTTTTGAACATGAACAACAACAGTTGTATTTGGTGACACTGCTTATTCCTAGTATTTCTCCAATGGTTTCTGTTGTTGTTGAGATGTCACTGACTTCAGGTAATGTTTGTTTGAAGGGTTCAGCGTCCTTGATGGTGTATAAATTATCTTGTTTTGGTGTGTTCAAGTATCTTTGATTCTGAGATACTTTCATTCTCAAGTTGTTGAAGAAATAGGTGGACTGTGGTGTGACGCTGTCAACATGCTCACCCCAGAAAATAACTTTTATGTAACCAGATGGATCAACTATATAGCCTTCCTGTTTTTTGACAGGAGAATCTTGGATGACTATAGTTTTGGTCGCACTTAGATGTGATATCTTTCCTTTTATTGACACTAGCTGTTGTGGTGCTACTTTTGACAAGGATGCAATTGATGTGACATCATCTTGTGCTTTGTATGGAAAATCAGCTGTTGTTGAAGTGATGCTTGTGTTCCTGTTTATTACTACATCACTTCGTCCATACTTATTGCTGATGTTAAAATTTGAAATTTTAACCGGTGATCTTTGTGCAGCCATTGCATCAAGAGTTTCCTTCTTTTCAGTTGCAAAGCATACACTGCCAATGAGATCTTTCTCTGTCTGAAGGTGGCAGTTAAAGTAGCTTGTTGGTCCAGATTTTTTTACTGGTGAGACATTATGCACAAAGCAAGTTATGTCTTGTTTTTCTGTAGGAGGAGGTAAAAAGATATTTAGATTAATGTAATAAATTTGGCATGGATGGGATTACTGCATAAGGTAGCTTGTGTTATTTGAAAAAAACATATGTGTAAATATTAGTCTCCTTGTTTCATGTACTGTAAATCCTCTATTAAGCCCCCAGGGGGCTTATTGTTTTAAGGCGCATTGGGGGGGGGGCTAAATAGAAAGGAAGGGCTTAATAGAAGGGGAAGTGTTAAAATTTAGCAAAACAGGAGCAGTTCACCACTCATTAATTACTGTAATTAAGATTATTTTTAGTACAAATAACAGTGATATTTTGGCCAAAGTTCGCCACCAACATGCAAGAGGTGTGGGAAAAATAAATTGTATCATATAACTACATGAGAACATTAAAGGGTGACAAAAGTGATAGGAAACAGTGTACATCTAATACCTAGATGTTCAAAATAATATGTTTTATTAATGAGAGCATATAGAGCAGGTAAGGTTATAAAATGATTTTAAAACAAGAAGCATTAGTTTAATAGAAGAAAGGAACGTATAACCATAATATTTAAGTATGACCGGGAGATACATACCTGAAGCCATATTAGATCTCTGTCTTGTCTGTTGAAAAAAAAAAAAAATAAGGATGTATACAGATGTTTTAGGAGGGTGTTTAAAATACCTTTAAACCCTAGTTAATACAACACTCTGAAACATTACATGGAACTTTGCTTTAAATGTAGTTGGAAAGTGAACTATTTATAACCATAAAAAAAAATCATTTATGTATGCATGTGTTGAAGGCCGTATAATCAATTTATTGTAATTAATCAATTTTGGGTGCTGTACTGTTGTGAGTGACTTTGTTCGCATCACTCAACTTGGGATCAATTTATATTTGCTAGATTATATAGCCTGCTTTCTTCTTCAAGTCTATATTTTAAATTAGTGGATTTCTTAAGACTCTTAAGTCTTTCAAAAGTCATTGGTTCAATAATACAAGATGAAAGTGTTTTCACTCTGCTTATAGCTACATATGAAATGCCTGCAGTAGTTTCAGTCTGACCAATGTCAATCCATGCTTTTGGCAGTGTTAACCCTTGGCTCTTGTGTATTGTGATTGCCCAAGCAAGTTTGAGAGGCAACTGTTGTCTCTCATGTAAACCATCTAGTGTCTGTGAGGTTATTGTTATTGGGCATATAGGCACACATCGTGGAATGCTATCACTGATAGATGGACCTCTATACTCATTAAATTTTACTATGACAGCGACAGGCAAGTCTGGTGGTTGCTGGTTGTTTGCATAAATGAAATCTTCAACCGTTCCAGTTGCACCGTTACAAAGTCCAACATCTATCCATAGGTTCATGGTAAGCATTACATGTGCACCTTTTGCAAGGAAAATGGTCGGTTGTAAACCTGACATGTCATCCGAACTTGCTTTCTTAGCTATATCACTAGAGTGACGTGCAGTGATGCAGGCTATTGGCTGATGAAGTTCTGATAACTGTTCAAAGTTATAATTAGCAACTTCTTCATTGCTGAAATAGAGCCTAGTGGCATCTTGAAACTCATTCACGTTCAATGCTATGGAAGGCTGTCTTGCCAAAAGAAGTTTCCAATCTTGCTCATTAGAATCTCCTGTGCGAAGGCGTATGAGTAAATCTCTAAACTGAGCTTGCTGTTGATTTAAGCCTTGAACCCTCTGGTTTACTGACAGTTTTACAACATTGCCAAACATGTGATAAGCTAAATAGCCTTGTTCACCTGTAGAACTGGAGGGTCTCGAATGATATAATGGCTTATCTGCCACTGGAGGCAATTGAGCTGGGTCACCAACTAATATCATGGATTTACCACCAAATACTTCGTCATTTTTGCCTGTTGCTTGTCGGCAGCGTCTATCAATCCAGCCAAACAATGTTTGTCCTAGCATAGAGTATTCATCAATTAGGATATAACTGATATCTTTCAGCTTGGTTTGTAATGTGACAAGCCCTTGTCCTGTTAATTCTTTGTTATGTCTTGGGCCAACAGGCAATTTTAATAGTGAATGGATTGTACATCCGTTTATGTTAAATGAAGCTTTGCCAGTTGTGGCAGTCACTGCACAAGAGTGTTGGAGCAGGTTTCGGATGGCATTAATGAGGTAACTTTTCCCTGTACCGGCAACTCCAAGTATAATAAGAAGCAATGGATCTTTAGGGCAGGCTTGTTCAGAATGTGCTTTCACCATATTGTAGGCATGTCTTTGCATGTCACTGAATGTATTAACATCAATATTTTGTTGTTGCAAACCAAAGGTAGAATCCAAAGTATCTTTCTTAGTTTTTATCCAGGATGGCATTTCCTGTATTAAGTGATTTGCATACTTAATCTTGTCATTTTGCCAGTCATAATCAGGCTGAGAGGTTTGTTGTGTTATATTATCTTGGTTAACAAAATACCCAGGTATGAGATCTGCTAAATCCATCCACTCTTCACGCTGTGGAAGCTCTTCTGAAGAGTGCTCTATACTTGGTTCCTCTTCTGTGTTATTCTGTACACTTTGTAGTTTTTCATACCAGTCAGGAACATGCTCTTCAGCATATGGTGTTTGTAGAAATTCCTTCCATTTTGTGATGTATATTTCATCAGTGCCTTCCTGACAATCCCAGGCATTGTCTTGTGTAGTATGCCAAGGTTTGTGCTTAAGTAACTGATATTTGCAATAAAGTCCAAAATTTGGACCTTTTGAATTGGAAGAAAATACCGGAAAAACTCTGGGAATCATGTTATGAGGCTGAACTGTTAGTTTGTTGTTGACAAGTTTGTATTTTGTTGCAAAATGAATGAAATTAAGAGCCATTATATCTGGGATGGTTTGAATATATTTTTCCCTTTTAGCGTAAGTATCAAGCAATGAGTCATTGGTTACAGTATCTCCATCATTTGTTATAGTTTTGATTCTACGTGAACCATTTAGACTAATAGGTACCACATTAAATGATGAGCTGACAAGTTTCAGTGACATGAGATGATGCATAGTCTCTTGTGCAGAGAAGTCACGTTGGCCAAGTGACTTCATTATCACTTTTTTATCAATTTTGTAGGGTTGCTATTGTTGTTGCAATTACGGACAATAGAATTAAATGCAAGTTTCATTACAGGTGACTTTGGTTCACCTTTTGAAGCATATTTTGCAAGGTATTCAACACATGCATGATAATCAATGATCACTTGAATATCACAGTTTGCCCTCCAGCCTTGAAGCTGAAGTCGTTGGTGATTATTGAGTCTGCTATCATTCCTCTTTGTTATGATCTTTGCTTTGTATTGAGTGCTTCCATCTTTTGTATGAATGGGCTCAAACTCTAGTTTTGTATTAACACAAGGTTCAAATGGAAACTTAAATCTACATTTCAGTTCTGTTTCGTTTTGTTTCTTTCTAAGACAATAGTTTGTACTACAGCGAGTGTGCCTTTGTACAGTATTCAACAAATCAACATAATCTTGTTCAGAGTCTTGTAAACTTACAAGGTCCTTGTGACGCTTTTGACAAGGATGAATAGAGGGCTTCACCCATGTGCCATTATCTGGTGGATCTGGATTATATGTAGACAATAACCAATCTACATACTGACAAACTACCTGGGAAGCCTTTTTCCCATCCACTATCTGTTGATTGAGTTCTAGTATATTGACTTGCTCAGCTGTATTAGTGGACATTTCAGCCAAATAGCCTTTTAGAGCTGTTTCTGAGAGTTTACATAAACCTGGATCATTTTTCAGCTTTGCTACACCATGACAATGTATACTACCTCTAGCTTGATATTCAAATCTGTACCAGTGCCACTCAGCATCTAGTGAATTGTATAACCAGTATTTAATAAAACTTTCTAAACGCTGTGTAAAGAACCAGTCTGTAATATGAGGATTGTTAATCACATTCTGCCGTTTGTTGTCAGTTGAATTATTACTGACTGAGTTGCCAAAAATTGCATGAAGTTCAGGCCAATGCATATCAGCAGAGGAGAATGTGAAAAAAAGAATGTTGGAGCTCCAGCATGGGCTATTATTGCTTTTAAATCTTCTTTAGCTTTGTGCCAATAAGCATTAGAACCAGTAATGTTACTAAGATAGCGTGATATCTTAGATATAAACATACTTGTGTTATTGCTAGTTGCCATTTGCCGCAGCTCTTCAGCAGTCAAATGAGCTTCTCCTGGGTTTTGTTTTAGGAACATGCCTGTCTGTTGCAGAATACGTTTTCTTTGTATCATATTCAATGCCCAGTAACCAAATCTGGGGTGAGTAGCAAAGCGATATACCCATTTGTCATTCTTGTTTTCTCCAAACTTTAAAAGGTGCTTTACTCTTTCTCCGAGTGGTATATCTCGGCGTAATGATGGGTTAGTAGGATCACCCTTACCATCTGGAAATAATGTTGGGAAAGCCATTGTTGCTAAAAAGGAGTTACATACTCGTTTAATGGTTCACTGCCAACTGTTGGCCAGGGCAGGTGATTAGAATCATTAGACAATTGTTGGCGCACAGCTTCTATTTCTTGCTGCTGACACTCTGGAATAGGCAGAAAACTACTCATTTCAGTACCCTCATTATAAACAATGTCATCTTCATTTTGAGGACCTAAGTCAGGTTCACATGTGGCATCCAAATCTATATTCTCTGTTTCAACCGAGAGAAGACCATGTGGAACACCATGTTCTGGTAAAGAATTTAAAGAATTTTGATTGATGGTTATGTCCTTGTAGTGTGAGTTATTATTAACAAGCCATTGTAGTGCATCAGCTACATTTTGCCTTCGCACTGTCACATCTTTAAAACTGTTCTCTTTACCTTTCATCTTAACAACAATAACAGATAGATCTTTTGGGTATCTAGGCAGAGAATGCTAGTTCAGCTATATCCTGAGGCAAATTGATACAGTGGCCTGAATAGCCCCTTTGTCCACCAGGTTTTATGTAAACTCGCATAACAGGAAGTGCACGTGCAATAAGCATTTCTTCTACTTGGGTTAACCCCTGCAGTTGTAAAGGTACTAATGATGGCACCATGTCATTTTCCTTAGAAAACTTTTTTGGTTGTTGTTTATCTCGTATGCACCTCTGACACTGGTAGTGATCAACCTTCCTTGGACTGGATTTCAATGGCCATGCTTCAAAACAGACAGTGCATTGGCAAACTGAATACTGATTGGACTTATGAAAATCGTTCATGTTATTTTGTGCATGTTTTTGTTCGTGAACTGGACCAGCAGAGCTCTCTTTTTTGTCCTGCAGAAATTGTTTGAGACCTTTTATAACTGGCTCTCCTATTTGCAAGTCTCTTTTTCGCTTTTCAACAGTTTCTTCAGACGTTCTTTTTCTATAAGAGTCTTTGTAACTTTTTAGTCTCTCTTTTTGCTTTTCAACAGTTTCTTCAGACACTCTTTTTCTATAAGTGTCTCTCTTATTTTTAAGTCTCTTTTTCGCTTTTCAGCAGTTTCTTCAGACATTGTTTTTCTATAAGTGCCTCTCTTATCTTCAAGTCTGCTTGCCCTTTCATTAGCTGTTTCTGTATATTTGACTCTTTTCATGTAATTTCTGTGCTTAAGAAGTCTACCATGTCTGTTTTCATTGGTTTCTGATAATTTTCTCTTTATGCATGTGAGTTTGTTTTTATATCTACTGTTTTTGTCAGTCAATGTTGAAACATAATGCAACTCGTTAATATATCCAATAAATATTGTCTTTCGTCCATCCTGATCAGCAACAGGAGTTAAGATTGTACTTTCAGGTGAATTTATATTAGACTGTGTGATATGAATGACACAGTTGTATGCATTGGCCACAGCTTGCATTATGATGTTATCACACCATGTGCCTTGTTTTGACATTTTTTGATATATAGTTATTCCAGTGATCATTAGAAATGCTTTCAATATACAATTCTGGGTAACTCTGTAAATGGCCAATTCCAGCCATACGAATTTCAAGATGCAAGTCAGCAGTCCTATACAGTTGGTGCGAAACTGATTTAAAGAAACAATCCCCAAATCCACCTACATCATGTGGTATAAGTCCTATGAGACGAAGCCTTTCAGTTAAACAATCCCATGGTAAATCATGACTAACAGCATTCTCAGGAGACATACCTCCATTTAATTTTGAATTATCATTATGAGTTTGAGGAAAGCTTTTTCCACCAGAATTCATTAAATCTGCCACACGGATATGTGTTTGTCTACAGTTACATGTAGAATAGTTATCTGTTGTTGTAAATTTTCTTTTTCTGTATGTTCATGTAAAAAAACAAATTTACTATAATAATGATCATTGGTATACCAGAATTTCCAGGTGTTGTAATTTCTACATAAATTAGTGATAAAAGAACTGTCTGGAAGATGTTGTCTTACAAAAGACTTGATTCTATTCCTAGACTTCGTATTACTTAGTGCCTTTAGAATTATTTTAACAGGAACGCGAGATGGTTCCCTGTCCCTTTTCCTCTGACAATTCACTCTTTTCTTACGAACTTCAACATTTTCAGAAATAGTTACACTATGATTTTCAATTTTCTCAGAAGAATAACTTGTCAAAGCCTTATCATGATCTTGTGAACTACAATCACCACTTATCAGCCCGGTAACCATTTGACTTTTGTCACTTTTCATTTGGCGCAATGGCCATCGAGCAGAATGACTCGGTTTATTTGCTTTGTGACCACAACGGGTCATTTGGCGCAATGGCCACCGAGTACAATGACTCGGTTTGTTTGGTTTGTATTTGTGACCGCTATGGGTCAAAGCACAATGGCTTGGTAGATTTGCTTTGAGACAACTTTGTGTCAGAGTTATCGGTTGATTTGCTTTGTTGTTCGGCAAATTCGAGGACATCAATTCAAAGCAGGAGAGCAGCGAAGGTCTTCGGTTTGTTGTAGTTCGGACAACGCCGACATCGGGCTTTCTACATGCTCTTGGAGTACTAAAAAGTTTCCTGGTAAGGCTTTGACAAGTTGAAGCGATGAACTTTTTAAGAAACATCGCATGAAGTTTGAGAAAAATAAATGAACTTACCGAATAATCCAAAGATATCCACGGAGGCGACACGGACGCAAAGATATCCACGGAGGCGACACGGACGCACGAGGAGCTTGCACTCGCACGAGGTATAGTTGCGTGCGCACTCGCACGAGGTATAGTTGCTTGCGCATAAAAATAGTTGTGTGCGCATGTCCACCAGGTGAGCCCGCAATTTCTTTGGCCGGCTATTGGGCTTAAAATTCGTGCGCGCGCTTAATAATTATTCAAAATGGCGCAGATTTTGAACATCGCCCGTCCAGGTAACCAAAAATCTCGAATCTTCACGCCTGGCATGCACAGGTATCCCATCGACCACAGGATCCCCAAAGATTACGAAGCGTTCTCCTAACGTCGAACGCAACAAGCGTTTTGGGTGTATTACCCTTCTTAAGTTGTAAGGAGGTCGTGTGGCCGAGCGGTTAGAACGCTGGACTTGCAATTGGGAGGCCCCGAGTTCAAGTCCCGCCCTTACCGCTAGCTGGATTTCTTCACGGTAGTCCCGAATTCAAATCTTTGACCATACTTGTAAATAGCTGCAGCCTGTTTGCCTCCCGCCAGTTGAAATTCTTAACCCCATTATGTTTGATTTCAATTATTTGTTTCAACCATTTGCGCGGCCCCAATAGCATATTAAGTGCCATAAATACTAAGGAGGATAAATAAAGGAATAAAATAATTATTATTGTAATGCGTTCACCTTCCTATTAATTTGTTTCAGAAGAAATGGCACAAAAAATGTCCTTTTCACTAGACTGTGTATACTGCTCCAGTTACATCAAGTATTTGCTGAGATTTTAAATACAGTTCATTTCAACAGTTTAAGCCAAATGTTATTTAACAAGTATTCACACATCTTACAGCCGCTGCAAATTTGTCAAGTTGGAGAATATCCCTACGTGAAGATCCACAATGTTGTTGGAACTAAGATCCCTGTAAAAAAAATTAAAAAGAAAAATTCAAAATGTTGCTACAAAACCTATTTCCCAGTGATTGTTTCTAGAAATGGTCGACAAAATAGGTGTTTCGGGTGTATAATCTTTCTTCAGTGTAAGCACAAGTCGTCACATACCTCGGTGGCTTAACTGGCATAATTCATTATTATAACGTTAACAGTTTTTATTACAAAAGAGAGGTTATCTACACCAAATGACTATTTGTAATAGTTTTGAAATTTTGTTCCACAGAATTTTTCTATATGGTCAGACAAAGCTATAAATTGACTCTTCAAACCATGTTTGGAATAAAAAAAATTGAAAAAAAAAAGGAAGGCTCGTTTGCAAGAGAGACTTATTTCAATTTCTAACTCTTGTCTCTACCTCGTTTCCATGAAAACGCATCAGTGTTACGTTGCATATTTGACATATTTAATAATTACGACCTGAAATCCGGACAAAAGAATAGTGGGGAAGCTGTACTCTCACGTAGCCCGAGTTACAACTAAAAATAGAAATCTGAACAATCAGCTGCGTGTTGCAGTGTCTTCTCCTTTATAGTAATCTGTTTCACAAAAAATGGTGCAGATAACTAGGCATTAATATTTACAAGACATGGCGTAAAAAAAGCCACTCACTTCAAGCCGCTAGATTTGGATTATTTTGCCAAACAGTTTAAGAGCGACGGTCAGGCAAGTTTGAGTATTGAGTGGCAAGAGTTGAAAAAACGATTTTTGTTTCATTTTTTGTTCCATAGGTAGCTTTTAGGTAAATGATACGATTAATCTGATGTAAACCTTTTTCTCGCAAAAGCCTTTTATTTTCTAGAAAATAAAGAATATCAGTTTTTGCGGACAGAGACTCAAAATGGCCTTTTTTTAAAGTGTAAATTAAGTGTATCTGAACTGAAGACGGAGCTTTCTTAACTAACGCGGCTTGATGACAGAGGTTCGAAAACAGTCTTGTCAAAGCGTCTTTTGGAGGCCGTCAAAACCTCTGGAGAAGATGAAGAAACGAATGCATCGGTAGGAAACACCTCGGCAGTTAAAGTCGGCTTAGGAATCCCTGCTTCAGGTGCGAGAAATACTGAATGCAACAGCCATTTTGATTTTATCTCGCAAACAGCTCGTTTTCACCAGTTGCTGAGATAACTACCCCCAAACTTAAAACGAGCTGTCGAAAATCGGGTCAGAGAAACAACACCGAGTGGCCTTGCATTGTCACTACTCGATTTCAAAGTCACCATATCTAAGGATGGCAGCAGCTCTTTTGAATTTTACGAAAAGCCAGCCAAGAAACCACTATTTGTCCACCATGCATCAATCAGCTCTCCCCACCAAATCCAAACTCAACTTCATTCGCAACGAGCGAAAACGCATCGAGGACAGGTGCTCCTCAAATGTATTACATTGATGTCGAGATTATTATGAGCGAAAACGACCCCGATAATCTAAGTCTCTATGAAGTATTTTACATTAGAAAGTGCAAGCCTACACTCAATTCCTGAGAAGAATGCACTGAATTCGCAGACCTTTTATTTTAGTATTTTATTTGAGAGACCATTCTTAAGCGCATTAGAGGTTCTTTGTCTAGAGACACTCCATCATTAGAGCTTTGTATTCTACTCACAGTTTATTTCTATAGCTTTCATACATACGTCGCATCTTTTACACATTTCACCCTACCCTTTCTTTGCATATATATAGCGTCCGCGGAACATTTTCTCATCCCTGATGATGCCGTTGATCGGCGAAAGCTTGGATTTTAGCTTTTACTTTTTAAACAGCAGTTCAAGGCCTCACTAGAACAGTTTTATATAGTTTTAATTATGCTGCTGAAGGACAACATGAACAGATTAAGTTTTCTATCAGAGATTAGCTTTCTTCACTATTCTCTTTTTTCGAGGAATAATCCCCCCGATCCAGTTTAAAATAGGTGAAATGGTACGTCAGCTGTTTTTTAAACGGGGATATAAATTATAAGGTGCAAAAGCTTGCAGCGTGGATTGCTATGTAATTCATAAAAAATAACGAAGTTCGTGTGGCGTTAGCTAAGGCTAAAAAACCGGACTTTGAAAAACAAAACAGAAGCTAAATCTTGGATAATTATGGCCTAATTAAACGGTAATCATGATATTTAAACTAATAATCATAATAGCCGTAAAAGAGAGCGAAAGGAAATTAAAAAAACATTTTGCAAGTAGTTAAACTTGATAAGTCTCCAGCAAAAAAAACAACGGAGCGTTGCCACTTGACCAAGAAAAACTCCCTCACCAATCAGCTTGAAGTTATAGTATTTAAACGACATGAGGTGGAAACCTTATGAAATGCACTGATTTTAGAGGAAACACTTTTTAAAAGGTCTAAAATCCCATGCATGGTGGGAGAATGAACAGAGCTTTGGCTTCAGATGCGTTAATTTTGCAATTAAACAAATCAAAAACTACTATTGTTGAACCAGAATATCAGAAAGTGTTGCGTCTCGTAGAATTTCCGGTCCATTGAGGTCAACAAATAAATTTCCTGTCCGGGTGGGGGTTAGTATTTTGCTGTTTTTATCCGTGACACTTCTAAATGAAGCATACATGACGTAAAAACAACAAAAAGGTCAAGGAGTACTGGAAACAAGTTTGAAAAATAAAAAAAATGGCGGCCGAAACGCGGAGAATTTGTTTTGGCTTTTAAAGACGTTTTATGGGCATTTTCTTCGCGCTGGCTACTCCTCACGGGTTAAGGTCAAATTCAAAGGAAAACAAAAAACCCAGTTTTTATCACATTCCTTGGTTTAAAACACTGTGGTAGTTTTAAAGGCAGACGAGAGATGGCACGATATCAGGTGGTACCGTTCGCGATTTCTGCAAACTTTGGTTGTAATCGTTCCGCGAACGTCTACGCAAGGAGCCTGACGCAAGTGAAAATCCATACAAAAATGGCGATTTTTTAGTTGGTTTTTAGCGCGAAAAACCATAGGCGTACGGGCCGGGGGGCGAGGGGGGCTGCAGCCCCCCCAAATTTTGGGCAACTCAGATTT